GAAACAGGCAAAACGAAGGACCCGGATGGTGTGGTGGTGAAGTGCGCTACTCCCCGGAAAGGACAATAGCGCGCGTTCGTTCCCCACCGCATACACCTGCGGTCCGGAGTTTTGCAAATATCTCAGCATTATATACAGGTAAAATTTATGTTTAGCGACATATTAAACATTTTAACATGATAAGAAAGGTAAAGGGGGAAGCTGTTGGAGCTGGCGTTGGTCAATCCCTGAGGGATGCGCCATGCATTCGACTTCATTAAACATCGTTTGGAGGTGATTAGATGCATATTTGGCATTTACAATGACATGCGGTGGCCTAGCTATGTATCGAGCTAGTGCTGTTATCCTCCCAGAGAAGTGTGGTGCCAATTTGTGGATCCCGGGGGATAGAAGGCTTGGTGGGCCATGGGAGCGGGGGTCGATTCCAAGTGTATGTTGCACGGCGCCTCCGACCACTACTTTATTATGCATACACCAAAATAAATATGCGCGTTGTGTGAATAATCTCAAGTTGAAAAGATAGAAAGTTTGTTGTTAAATAAACCAAGGAAGGTTATAATCAGCAATGCAATAGAAAAACGAAAAAAAAGTTTGATTATGGGAACCGTTGTCGAAATGGTGATCACATTGTAACTCTTTTTTCAAATGATGTTTCCTCCATGCCGCGATGTTAAGGGATTCCACATGAAAAAAGCTACTGGTACGACTTACGGTGCAGTTCACCGAATTCTGTTGTTTCGAAGATTTACTTATCATCTGAGAAGGTCCTTCATACGTAAGCGTTGAAATCGTTCCCAAAAAATTTGATCGCGTCGAAGAAATAAACTCAGTATATCAATTTGATAGGGGCGAATGTGCACTGTGGTACTGCAAGTACTGTGTATCGTACTTTATAGGGAGCGTGTAGCGCAGTGGCTAGAGGGACGCCGGGATCGAGTCTGCGCCCATGGCCCACCAAGCCTTCCATCCCTCCGGGGTCGGAAAATTGGTACCAGACTTGTCTGGGAGGATAGCAGCACAGGCTCGATACATCGGTAGGCCACCACGAGTCATTGTAAAGACCAGATGTGCATTCAGTCACCTCCAGCGTTGCTAAATGAAGTCGGATGGCGCACCCCTCAGAGATTGATCAACTCCGACAGCTCTATCCCTTATCGTTTTATACCAATTTGACGGCATTAAATCAAGGTGAAGTGTTTGATCTTTAGAAAAAAAGCGCCAATGAACGAAATTGCGCGAAATTACTGCAGTCTTATGTGATATATACATAGTTCATTCTCCCTTTTACATCGCCTTCGACTGATCCTTGAATTGATCGCATAAATCGATAACGAAGTGCGTAAGTGTAAAGCACCAACCGTTAACCGGTAATCCGGAAATGCTAGCGATTTCCTATGGTGAGGACCTAGGAAAACCCAATGAATGTGATCTCGGGGTTCTCAGGAAAATTCTGGATGATTTGCATTCAACAAATCAAAGAGGAAGAAAGACGATAAACCTTACGCTTCAGATGAACCGACACACAATTCGGACTAGCTCTGTGGATAGCGCTTAGAAGACGATAGAACTCACGGAAGAGGTGTCAAAGTACAAACTTGCGAAGTTGGGTTATCCAACTAGGTGAAAAATCAGGAAGTTATAAGTATTCCAACTGTAGCTTCCCGGATGGGCTTTCTTACTGTTTTGACGAAACCTCTGCTAATTACAGACTGTACTGATTAGATTTTCATCAGAGAAGAGAAGAGAGCGCATCGAGAAGAAAAACATCTGTGGACCATCGACTCGGATCATTGGCTCTAATGAAGAGGAAGACATCGAAACCATAGCCGAATAAACTTTATTAGCAACCTCGTGTAAGCTCAACCATTTAAAAACATTTTGATTATTCTACTACTGAGGTTAGATGACGGTTAGTTTGAAAACTACTACTAGACTTTCGCTTTAAGAAAATAAAATTCTGATATACCACAAAGACCGTCCCGCAGAGGAGAATGAAATCCTCCACAGCAATGAGATCTGGGTGTTTCCTCATTGCATTATCAAGCAATACTAACAGACATCTACTTCTCTTCAATCAGTTACAATTTACAAATACGATCTATAAAGAAGAAGTATCTGAAAGAGGGATAAAGAAGTAACTTCATTCCACCGATCTTCTCTTCCACTTAAGCAAAAACAAAAATACAAAAAGAGATGAAGAAGGACGAGTATCGCTTATGATCGGAGGTACAACTGAATTTCATTTCTTGTCTACCACCATTTCTATGGCAGTGAATAGGAAATAAACTCGAAAGTCGATTTCAGCTTATTTGATAAGCTTCCAGTTCCAAAGTTGTTTTCTGTCTAGAATGTTCAGTCAGTGATGCATCTTCCCGAAAATGTTTTAATTAAGAACAAGAATAGCACAAGTATGAGAAAAATTCTGGTCAGCAGAAAGAATGACAGAAATATTGAAAGGGTTGCATATATAAGCCGCTCCAGAAATAAACAGTCGAAGTCGACAATACGACGGCAAGCGCGATGGTTCACCAGCTTCTCCTCATACTGCTCCTTTATGGAAAACTCGGCCAGCCACGAGTTATACAGGTAAGCCCTCATTGTATTTATCCCTGCTGCAAACTCGTGCCATTTAAAAGTTAGCTAAGGTGTGGGTCAAAACAGTGTTAGTGTAGAAAGTTCTGTTAATCTAGAGTACAGTTTTGGCTTCCTCAAATGGCCTATTTGTTGTCCATCTTGAACAGTGTGGTTGTTCCGAGACGCGGCTGGATTCAGTGATTGAACTGCATAGGCCTGCCTTCGAAGGGGTGGGAAGGATCAAAAAAAGGATCCAAAGTCGTCTTCACCAAATAAGGCCTGTGTCCACTCCAGTAGAACTCGATGAACTAGCAATCCCTCAACGCAGAACATTGACAAGAGAGCTGCTAAACGGCCAGTGGGTACGTGCTTTCTAGGAAGAATGAAGTTAAAAAACCTTTTGTGGAAAACACCTTCATATCGGATAAGTGGGTTATTTTACTAGACTGCTCTGGAACACGACAGAAACAAGTGGGAAGTTTATTGATAACCGCCTGAATCACTCTATGATCACTATCATTGTACGGCATACAGGTAAGTCTTCCTCCACTCGGAAACATTGGAAATGAAGAAATCAAATGGAAATTAAGAGAATAAATGTTAATGCGTCGTTCTCTTGTTCAGCAATCGCCAGGTTGTTAAACAGCATACATTTACTTCCATAGAAAAACAAAACAATACAACAGTAGCTGACGTTTCGGCAGTATCGCATTCTTCTGAGCCTGGAAGGGTATGCTGATATACAATCTACTAGGCCAAACGCTTCAATAACACTTACAAAAAGACGAAAAACTCTATGGTAATCACATGATCTACAGCTTCTCAAAAAACACCGATTTTCACGCGACTTCCAATGGGGAAGATTACAACAGCTGATTATAGTAGCATAGGGTTGATGACTGCACCACCCCACATCAGAAATTGATGCGAACATACGGGGCTAGGTTGCGTATGACCTCTGGGCATTCATACTTGAATAAAATAATAAATAGAATAATAGGATAACTATTGACGCGCCATATGTACTACAATAATTGTGAGGGGTCAAAGACATTCAGGATAACGTCAACGAAGATAAACACAAGACCACCTCCCGACAAATACCGTTTTCTCATCGCATTCCAGAATATCTCAGTGGAAAACCAGGTGATTGAAATACAGTGGTAATGCAGTTCGTTGGGAAAGTTAAAAGTCAAGTTTTTCAGATTGCAAGAGATGTGGTAAAATTTCAACAGCACAATGTTCCAGAACGAGTAGGGTGCCCTTTTGTATACGACCTGAGATAAGGTGAGGCGTTCATAGTAATTCAAGTGCAATGAATCTCCTAAAAATTCCCCAAAATTTCCAACTTGCTAGAAGCTTAACCATGAATGGTTTAAGATCTTCTAGTAAAGCAATTCAGCAAGGGGCGGATAACACAGTGGTAGTCATGTCCGTCATCACGAGCATGGTGCATGTTCGGTTACGCCCCGAGCGAGTTAGCCTAACATCCCTCCGGGGTCGAGGAATTGGTACCGAAGTTTTTGCGAAAAAATCATTCTCTGCAATCCAACGGAAACGATCCAACTCGGCTATCTCAAGACTTCAGGAAAAATTGATCGACGAGCATTCCACGACATTCAAGAGGAAATGAAAATCCTCAAACAGCAACCGAAGCTACACGTAAAAAACTTCGAAGACCTTTGTGGACAATGGATGCGAGGAAACGAATCGAATGTGAGAAGTGCTCGGATACGCACAATAGACGAGAGGATGGGTCAAATAAAATAAAATAAAATAAAATAAAATAAAATAAAGAAAGATAAAAAACAAAACATGATAAATACTCTAAATGAAGAAGTCGAAACGATACCAATGAAGAATACCGCATGAAAAGTTAATTAATCAGTGAACACCAAACAATGGTTGAAATCTGTGAGAAGATGAAAGGAAACATCACAAAACAGACAAACCATTCCACATCGATTTAAATAATAAAAAGTTTTTATCTTAAAAAACCACACACTTTCAGTTACAAACGATTCCGCTGCATTGCAAAAGCGAAAATAGTATGCAGATCGCCCGATAACGGAAAGGTGGTGGCGCGATATTCATCAAATGGAAAGCTGCGGAGATTCAAAAGCAGCAGAAGGTCAAATAGGATATTCAGGCATGCCGTACATTGCAGAAATGGAAGATGGTTCACGATAGATGGGAACAGAATTAACAAGATCTATTGCTACAATAAGGAGGATAGGATAAGGCAAGCAGCGTTAATCACTATCACGTCAACACCAACGACTGCTCGGAATTTGACAATATCATTGACGGCTAACACGGAGCAAACCGGTGCTGATACTTCGTCAGATTTAACGGCACCAATTGTAACACAATCGACAACACTTTCATCAACGACCGACGCAGATTCGCACTCGAGTACAGCATCAATGATGGCCGACGCGGAGGGATCCGGTGAAGCTGCCTCGTCAGATGAAGCCACAGCACGTCATACGCAAACGAAATCCCCTTCATCAACGATCGACGCAGATTCGGACTCGAGTACAACATCAATGAAGGCTGGCCAGGAAAGATCTGGTGAAGCTGCTTCGCCAGATGAAGCCACAGGAATTGATACGAAATCGACAACACTTTTATCAATGAGCGAAGCAGATTCGGACTCGACTACAACATCAATGACGGCTGGCCAGGAAAGATCTGGTGAAGCTGCCTCGTCAGATGAAGCTACAG